AGTGTCCCAGGTCATGGGATCCCCTTTTGTGACCTTCTTACAAGCAAAGTCAATGGGGAAGCTAGATTAACAATTACGTTAGTAACTTAATAACTGCAGCGATTTACTTAATAGCTGCGGCACAAAAGGTCGTAAAATGGGGCAAAATTCACTTAACTAATCTTTCACTGAGCAAAAAATAAATAAAAATGGGCTCAATTGCAGTCGTAAGTAGAGGACTTGCCTGTATAGGAAAGACTTGGTTCTTGGACCTAACTGGGGCTTCCCTTGAGCAATTTCCAAGCTCAATTGAGAAATAAATCCATGTGGAACATGATGTCACATGAACCCAGCACATAAGCAAATTCAAAGCTTTGGTATTTTCCGTTTAATTTCACCTGTTAGATAAGGATCTTCTCTACTTTACATATATGTACAACACACCTAGAAACTGGGCGGGGGGGAAGAACTGGCACTTTCATCGCTGGCCCTGCCAAAGAGGCAAGTGGATTCCCATTTGGAAATGCAGCTTGCCTCTTCCAAAGTGAAAAAGGGGAACCTTGTAGGATGAAGGATGTCCCCCCCCAAATTTAATCAGGATTGCAGGACCCCATTTTCCAGCTGCAATCACAGGTCCTCAAACAGGTCTCCGTTGTTTGTTTTGGTTGCTCTGCTTAAAGTTTCTAACTACAAGGTTGCGTACGCAAGGTTTTTCTTGTTAAGATCAACTTTTCGAAAACAAACAGGAAAATACCAAAGGAGCCAGTAACAATTTAACAGTTCAGCAGCCTCTAAGATAATCTTCAAAACAAACTAAGGCATGTTCGAAAGAAGTTTAATGTTATGATTAGGTCTTAAATGTTACACAAAACACAGGATTACATCAACCAGCAAGAGGCAACTTGCTCTGTATAAGCTCATTATTCAAATCCAGGATTCTTGTTTACAAGAGCACTGGAGTCCTGTAAAATCCAACTGGCAGCCAGGTTATATATGGCAAAAAATAGTTTCACAAAACAGATGAATTTTAAAAAATCATTTCTTAACCTGTGGGAGTTTCTTCTTCCCTCCTGCTTCCTTATTTCATGATCAGGCCCAAAATGCATCTATGATACAGCCCTATCATATTGCAATGTATTTGCTACTGATAATTTAATTACAAAAAAGGTTTGAGAAAGAGAGAGAGCACAAGAGAGAGAGAGAGAGAATGAAAAAGTATTTATGGATGATAGATAGATAGATAGATAGATAGATAGATAGATAGATAGATAGATAGATAGATAGATAGATAGATAGATAGATGGATGGATGGATGGATGGATGGATGGATGGATGGATGGATGGATGGATGGATGAATGGATGGATGGATGATAAAGATGGATGGATGGATGATAAAGATGGATGGATGGATGGACTGACAGGCAAGGCAGGGCAGGCAGATAGCAGACAGTATGGTATATTAGATTTAGATAACCTTTATTGTCATTTTTTTTCCCCTGTGGGCACAATGGCACACATTAAAAATGAAATTTAGTTGCTCCCTCTCAAAGTGTACACATACATAACTCATATTTAAAACATACTATACACAGCAAAGGTCTAACTTTACTAGGGTCCAAGTTCTAGTCCCCTCTCAACCTCCCTAGATGACTTTGAGCTAGTCCCTCTTAACACAAGACACAGAATGATCCAATAGTGATGACGTTAAGACTAGGAACAGAGAGACCTAAGTTCTAATCCTCTTAGAAGTTTGTTAGGTAACTAAGCCAAAACCCGGTGTGTAGTGGTGAAGATGCCAGACCGGAAGACCGAGGTTCTATTCCTTAAGTTCAGAAGCTGGCTGGAGGGAAAACTGGGTCCAGCACTCTCAACCATAGACAAACATCAGCTAACCACTCACTCCCGTGTTGCACCAATCTGTAAGTTACAATCAATCATGTTCAATGCCCCCAAAATGTATGCATTATTTTTCAATATGCATATTTGCAGCATTTCACTTCTAGTCTTTCAGTACGATCTGACCCAAATATTTTGAGGGACCACGTCAATTAGTTCTCTGCCATGCTACCCACCTTCTAGAGCAGGGTTGTTCAACCTCGGCAACTTTTAAGACCTGTGGACTTCTAACTCCCAGAATGGCTGGGGAATCCTGGGAATTGAAGTCCACTAGTTTTAAAGTTGCCACGGTTGGACACCCCGGCTCTAGAGCAATGCTATTCTTCTCTCCGTATTCATACAGGCCTGATCCTACCGTTTCCTGTTCCTAAGGACTAGGAACAGGGCATTAAATGAAGCCACCACTGGACCTGCCTCCACTGTTGTAATTATATTCCCCCTACCCCCACGATCAGCACAGGACTGCATATGTTCTTCCACACTGTTTATATTGTTGCTTTAATCCTCATAAGCCACCCAGAGACTTACCCAAATGGGTGGCTGGAGAGACTCAACTTGAGAACACAATATGACCTGCAATTATGCATTAGGTAGGGATGATTTTAAGAAAATTTTAATTGACACACAGCTTCGAATATTTGGCTTTTAATTTGGTTTTATGGGGGTTTTTTGTTCTTTGATGTATTTTGTTTGTCTGTTTTAATATGCTGTGCACCGCCCTGAGTCCTACGGGAGAAGGGCGGTATATAAATTAACTTATTAAATTATTAAATTAATTAAATTATGCACCAATGCATCATGGCCTGTTTTTTCTCTTTTACACACACACACACACACACACACACACACACACACCCCCCAAACACATGGCTCATTTCTCCCTGTGAGGTCAATTTTTTTTTTCCTGAGGAGTCAATAAGAAATCTCTCAAGAGTGAAATTTCTCAGAAACTTGTGGTAGCCAAAAGATAACAAAAGGTTAAACACATACAAGTTCTTGGAAATCACAACAAAAAAAATTAGGCAACTTGTTATGCTTTGCTCTCCCTAACTCAAGGACATTTCTAGAGAGGTTTTTGGTTTTTTTTTAACAGTCCCTTCAATAATTTACAATACTTCTCTATGCTTTCTTCCTGAATGTCATTTTAGTTCTCCTTTTCTTAAGAACTATAACCTTCCAGATCACCTCTCTTTTCTACGTTACATAAAAATTCGTCACACGTTTTTATGGCCCAAGTATTTATATTTCTGAAACTCATTCCTTTCTGGGCAGTTGAAAGTTGACATTTTTTGGTACATGTTCCAATCTTGACATATTCAAAATCTTAGATAATCTTTCCCCTTTTCCCAAGTTTGTTTGGTTTTTTTTTTAAAAAAAGAGACATTTTCTTTTCAAGGACTTCTTCCCAGCTTTTGTCAAAAGCTTGTAATTGCAAACATTGTAGATGGCAAGCGCATCCCATTGTTTCGGTAAGGGAAAGCCCAATTATTTGCAAGATCCATAGATGCAGGACTGATTCACACATGCTAATGCCTCAGATGATTTAGATATGGTTTTGGATAACACCGGACACACCCACATTGCAAGAGCTCCTATGCACAATCCAGCTGTGTCTCTCCAGTAAGTACTTCCAATGCTCAGTCATTTCTAGGGTGCCACAACAGCTCCTATTCTTAAATCTTCGGCCAACTGGTACCACCTCATCACCCAAATATTTGCAATTTACTTCCACAGTTGCTGGGAAACAATGAAAAGGGTTAAGACAGCCCCTTAATCCAAATACTCCAGGGTTGGCTGCATAGCCTTAATCGGCTTAGTGAATTAATATATTTTCTAGCCTTGCACAACACACCACCTCAGAAATTAACCAAACGATCCGGCTTCACACAACTTGCTTTGCTACAAAAAACAAAAAACAAAAAAAACCAATGTGGTTGTGTGAACCAACCACATTAGGGAAACACCAGATTTCCCAGAAAATCTGCAAAAGTTCTGGACAATTATCCATCCTGTCCTTGTAGAAAAAAACCCCATGCGCTGAAATAAACTTCTCTCCACCATCTCACTTCTAGGAAGATGAAGAGATCCTTCTCGAGCCCCCAATGTGGTCACCTCCAAAGTGGTCACCCCCGTAATGCTCCCAAAGGAAGTCCTCCAACCTCAAGTGCCTACAAAACCCATTGTCCCCATCCTGGATTCAATCTTCTCGTCCTGATGTGTCCTCAATCACCCTGAAGTCTCTACGGAGAAGACCTTTCCCCAGCAAGGTCTCTAGGTCCTACCAGTGGGACCCTGGGATCCTTCCCAAGGTGGGGGTGAAAGCTAAATGGGTGGGGGGATCAATAGGAATGGAAGCTGGGAGCACAAGAACCAAGCAAGCTGGAGGACCTTGGGTGCATGGGCAATGGAGTCCTACCTCTCTAGAGGGGGAACAGGAGCCAGGACCCATCAGAAGGGCAGGGGGTGGCTTATGAGCAATGTAATACCAAGTGGGGTAGGGGGAGGAGAGAGGATCTGAGCCCCCCCCAACACCTGGAAACCCCCCAGGGGAGTGCTGGGGATTACTGGAAGCAAGGAACAACAAAACTGGAGGCCCTTGGGTGCATGGGCAATGTAGTCCTACCTCTCTAGAGGGTGACAGGAGCCAGGAGCCATCTGAGGGGCAGGGGGTGGCTTATGAGCCATGTAATACCAAGTGGGGTGGGGAAGGAGAGAGGATCTGCCCCCCAACTGGAAACCCCTCAGGGGAGCGCTGGGGATGATGGGACAGATCTAGGGGCCTTCAGGGAAGACCCTCCCCCGTGTCCTGCGACCTGATGATGATGGGCGAGGTAGTCCTTCCTCTCTAGAGGGGGATAGGAGCCCAGGACCCATCCGAAGGGCAGGGGGTGCCTTATGAGCCATGTAATACCAAGTGTGGGGGGGAAGGGAGGAAGGACAGACCATCTGGGGGCCCCCCAGCAATCAAAAGCCCCCCAGGGGAGCGCTGGGGATGATGGGACAGATCCAGGAGGCCTTCAGGGAAGCCCCCCCCATGCCCTGCGAGCTGAGGAGAATGGGCGATGTAGTCCCGGGTGTCCGAGGGCCGTGGGGGCCGCCGGAATCCTCCCTCCCTCGCCCGTACCTGGCCGCAGCGGCTCGGTGATGCTGAGCACGAGGAGGAAGAGGAGGAGGAAGGTGCCGCTGTCCGCCTTGGGCACCATTTATCCTCCGTTCATCCTCCGCCAGCGCAGCCACATCAACCCCGCGGGGCGGGGGAAGACAAGGGGGAGGGCCGCCGCCGCCGCCACGCCGCCTCCGGGAGCCAGCGAGGCCTCCGCCGCCGCCGCCGCCTCAGTCGCCTCAGCCGCCGCCGCCTCGCTGAGGGGGTCCGCCCGCCCGCAGCTCCGCTCGCAAGATGGCGGCCGCATCGCCCCGCCGCTCCCGCCGGCGCGCCCCGCCCCTCCGCCGCGCGGCCAATCGGCGGGCCGCGGGAGGAGCCAGGCGCAGGGATTCATTTGCATAGGCGCGTGGCGAAGGACGAGGCGGCGCGCGCAGCGGCGGCGGCGGCGATGAGGGCGGGGCCATCGAAGCCGCTCTGGCTCCTCCCCGTCGCTCAGCAGAATCAGAATAGAAGCTGGAAGGGACCTTGGGAGGTCTTCTAGTCCAGCCCCCTGCTCAAGCAGGAGATCCTATAGTACCATCTCAGACCAAGTAACTGTCTACCTCATCTAAAAAAACGGTCCAGGGATGAAGCACCCTCATCATCTGGTGGCAAGCTGTTCCACTGGTTAATTGTCCTCACTGTTTAGCAAATTCCTCCTTAATTCCAGGTTGCTTCTCTCCTTGATTGGTTTCCATCCATTGCTTCTTGTCCTTCCCTCTGGTGCTTTGGAGAATCATTTGACCCCTTCTTCTTTGTGGCAGCCCCTCAAATATTGGAAGACTGCTATCATGTCGCCCTCGGTCCTTCTTTCCATTAAAGTAGACGTACCCAGTTCCAGCCACAGTTCTTCCAGCAAGGCAGTGGGTTCCACTTATTTCATGAAAGACCGTGTGCCAGCCATGTGTATTTTCCTACCCAAGTCCCTTAACAACATCCTTCCAGTGTTGCCCTTGTGATGTCATCCGATGACCTCAGCTCTTCAAAACACTGCTGGGGAGACCGAAGGCCAGTCTAGCCTGGAGCCCCTTTAGATGGTCCTCTCCCCACCTCAAGGAATGTGCCACTAAATGACAGTTCAGATGGGAGCTTGGCACGCCCCAGCTTTGGCATCATGGACGATGGTGCTGTGCTTAAGAAAAAGGGTTATATTCTGGGGAGTACCTTGGGGGAGAGTTCCTTCGCCAAAGTGAAATCGGCTTACTCGGAGCGTCTGAAAATCAACGTGGCGGTGAAAATCACAGACCGGAGGAAGGTGCCCAACGAGTTCCTGGAGAAATTTCTCCCTCGGGAGCTGGAGATTTTGTCGACCGTCAACCACTGCTCCATCATCAAAATCTACGAGATATTTGAAACGGCAGGAAAAGTCTACATTGTGATGGAACTTGGGGTCCAGGGGGACTTACTGGAGTTTATTAAGAGCAACCGGGGCCTGCCGGAAGAAGTGGCCTGCCGGATGTTCCGCCAGCTGTGTTGTGCGGTCAAATATTGTCACGATTTGGACGTGGTCCACCGCGACCTGAAGTGCGACAATATCCTCCTCGACAAGGACATGAACGTCAAGCTGTCGGATTTTGGCTTCTCCAAGCGGTGTTTCCGAGACGGGAACGGTAAAATGTTACCCAGCGAGACTTTCTGTGGCTCGGCGGCTTACGCGGCTCCGGAAGTGATCCAGGGGGTGCCTTATCACCCCAAAGTTTATGACATGTGGAGCTTAGGGGTGATCCTGTACGTCATGGTTTCTGGGTTCATGCCTTACGACGACTCCAACGTCAAAAGGATGCTTCGCCTGCAGAGGGAGCATCGGATCCTTTTCCCTGAGTTTCTGAGCCTGGAGTGCAAAGATCTGATTTTCCGCATGCTTCAGCCGGACGTTTCTCACCGGCTACGGATCGAAGAGGTTCTGAACCACCCCTGGGTGCAAGGCAAGCACCTCAAGTCCTTCAAACTGCGAGATTAGCCAGATGGTAAAGTGCAAACATAAAATGTTATCCGGAATACTTTTTGCTTTGCAGAAATGCAGTAAACCTGAAAATCTTTTCCTTCAGCTTCCCTTTTGCAGCGTTCTCCTTGTTGCACCATTCTCTATTTATTTCACGTACACAGGTAGTCCTTGATTTACATCCATTCATTTAGCGACTGTTCGAAGTTACAACCGCATCGGGGTGGGGGGGAAAGGACCTGTCCTCGCACTTACAACCATCGCAGAATTTTCCCCTCTGGTCACGTGATTAAAATTCGGGCACTTAACAACCAGCAACCATTTACAATAGTTGCAATGTCCCAGGGACCAGAATTTCAGCTGCTAGGCTATTAAGGGAGTCATGCCCAATTTTGCTCTCTTTTTGCCACAGTTGTTAACCAAAACACTGCAGGTTAAGCAGATCAGGTGGTGGTAGAGTGGATCTGGCTTTCCTCCCTTTGGTTTTGTTTGACAGAAGCCATCTGGGAACATTACAAGGGGGATGGGATGCTGCCACCATCATCAATGCACGTCAGTTGCCAGCACTCAAATTTTGATCCTGTAACCATGGGGATGCTGCAACTGTCCTAAGTGTGAGGACCAGTCATTTATTCGCTTCTTTCAGCCCCACTAATTTCGAACGCTTGCTAAATGAAGAGTCATCTTATAGCGGAGATGGGCGGCCTAACAATTTAATAAATATAATAAAAAAAGTAATTATAAGTTGAGGATTACCTGTACAGAATGCAAGTGAGAGTTCTTTAGAACTCAGCCATCAGTGAAAAGATATTGCCAACACCCAACTGTAAACCCATCCGTTTGAGCCCTGGAACACTCTTGCTCTCCAATGCACCTATCGTATATAATTTAATTTGGAACAGAACATATAGAACATTGTCAGAGTTGGAAGGGACCTTGGAGGTCTTCTAGTCCGACCCCCTGCTCAGGGGAAAAACTAAAATCAAACCTCTACACTTTCTCTGACCCATAATGGTAACTGATGAGTTGGGTGGTATCTCTCCATTCCTACCATAAGGGTGGAAGCTTGGAAGGAGAGAGAACAACAAAACTGAAGGAAGAACACAGTAAACCCAAATTTGCTCCCATTGTGTTTCTTCTAATAAAAGTTTCCTTCTTCTTCACTCATCCCGCAAGGAACTCTTATTTAGGCACCCATTAGCACTTCCATTTTCACCTCAAAAATCAGGTATAGCATGGGGAAAGATCCAGGTTATTTTTCAAATCCGAGGCAGGATTTGAATGACAAATTTGCCTGGCCAAAGTTGAGTCTTCCTAACAAATGCATTTGTCTGTATTGCATGAATTACGATTCTCCTGTGGATATTGTTGCTACCCAAAAATCCAGGACAGATCGCTCCGGTTGCGTGCGCGTCTGCAGCTGGGTTTATTACGGCTCTCCCTTTATGCCAAAGTCCCTTCCGAATAATTTTGCAAAACTTAATGGAGAAGAAATGTCACCTTTAGCGGGGAAGATTTAGCATCTCCCTGCAGACACACACCAAATGTTCCTCATTATCTAGGATGGTGGACATTTCAAAGCTCTGCTCCCAAGTGTCTGCTTGAGACACTCCGAGCTGGACTGGTTGATTTCCTTAAAAAAAGAATCCTTCCCCTCACAGGTGTGTTTATCAAAGCTTTGATGTACCAATCAAGGAGGTGGCTGTGCCTCATTGGTATGCAACTTTGGTTCCAACTGGGTGTATTCTCCTTGAGAGGGACCTTAAGGAAAGAAGACTATTAGGCCAGAATTTTTGTTCCTGCATTCTACGGAGAGTCCCTCACTTAACAACTGTTCATTTAGCAACCGTTCAGGAAAAGGCCTCTTATTTTCAGGGGAAACACGATAGTAAAATATTGGCTCAGTGTTAAGTTCCTTAGGATATATTCATACATTCGTGTGGTATATAAATTCTTACTGGATTTATTATAAAAGCCAGTTGAGAAAACAAAGTCAGAACCACGGACAGTTCCCTTCAGATCAAATTCTGGGTGGTTTTACCGATTCTTTGGGATTCAAACTCTGCTCTTTGATTCGGCAAAATTCCCAGTGTAATTTATAAGGGAGTGCAAATGTAAATGCCATAAACATTTGCACAACCTCCATAAAAAGAATTTTAGTGAGCCAAATGGTAAAAAAAAAAACACACAATGAAGTGAGCCTACAGCTCTGAAAGACTGGGTTACAGAGGAAGACACAGAAACGGAAGGAAGGAAGGAAGGAAGGAAGGAAGGAAGGAAGGAAGGAAGGAAGGAAGGAAGGAAGGAGCAATAACACTAGCAGGGTCACCATCTTGCCCCCAACAATCTGGGTCCTCATTTTACCGATCTCGGAAAGATGGAAGGCTGAGTCAACCTTGAGTCGGTCAGGATCGAACTGTCCAACTGCTGGTAGCCGGCAGTCAGCAGAAGTAGCCTGCAGTACTGCCTTCTAACCACCGTGCCACCACGGCTCTTAATCCTAAAACAAAAATATGGGTATGCAGAAGACAAAGAGATTAGCAAAAGGAGCCCATGTCTGTAGATACATACTCTGTCCAAGAGAGTTGACTGATCCACTTAGGAAGTTCATCCCTTCTCCACCCTGTCACCACGATGTAGCCTCCCTTGTTTGCTCCCAAGCTATCTAGTGTATCTTCAGTCAGGACCAAAACTGCCTTGGCTTTGTGACATCATGAAGGATGTTAAGAATTCTGCTGCCTTGAACTTAAGGAGAGAAACACCATTCTGAAACATACATAAATCTGGACAGAGGTAGGTGATGCCCTGTCAACCTGACGTTCCGGGTCGCCTCGAGAGACGATGGATGACGGCGAGGTGCTCAAGAAGAGAGGCTACATTATGGGCATCAACCTCGGAGAGGGCTCGTACGCCAAAGTGAAATCAGCCTATTCCGAACGGTTGAAGTGTAACGTGGCGGTCAAGATCATCGATAAGAAGAAAGCTCCCCGAGACTTCCTGGAGAGGTTTCTCCCTCGAGAGATTGAGATGTTGGCGAGGGTGAAGCATCACGCCATCGTCAAGACCTACGAAATCTTCGAGACCTCCGAAGGGAAAGTGTACATCGTCACCGAACTCGGTATCCAAGGAGACTTGCTGGAGTTTATTAAGAAGAAAGGAGCCATTCCCGAAGAGATTGCCCGTAAGATGTTCCACCAATTGGCCAGCGCCATTAAATATTGCCACGAGTTGGACATTGTTCACCGGGACTTGAAATGCGAGAACCTGCTTCTGGACAAAGAATACAACATCAAGTTGACAGATTTCGGCTTCTCCAAACGCCTGTCTCGTGATGAGGACGGGCGGGTCATTCTTAGCAAAACTTTCTGCGGGTCTGCTGCCTACGCAGCTCCTGAAGTGCTCCAGGGCATCCCCTACCAGCCCAAGGTTTACGACATCTGGAGTATGGGCGTGGTGTTGTTCATCATGGTCTGTGGCTCTATGCCTTACGACGAGTCCAACATTAAAAAAATGCTCAAGCTTCAGAAGGAGCACCGAGTGCACTTTCCCCGGTCCAAAGTGCTCTCGGTGGAATGCAAGGACCTCATTTATCATATGCTTCAGCCTGACGTCTCCCGACGGCTGTGCATTGACGAGGTTTTGATGCACATCTGGATGCAGGAACCCAAAGCCATTTCGGACTCCATGCTGACCAAGTCCGGCGAATGCTCGCATCATCAGAGCCAGATCCGATCCCTCTTCGGGAAGGAAACCGGTCCGCAGTTTTCGGACAATGAACAAGTGAAACAAGAAATACTGCATGAGGATCTCGAGAAGCTAGACAATTTCCCTGATCAGATTGAAAGGACTTCCCTCTGAAAAGAAAGAGAGAGAGAGACGTCGTCTCAAGACATCTCCCCCGCCCCAAAAAGGTTCCCAATAATGCCAAAAACTCAATTGTTTCTTTTAAAGGCTCTGTTCTAGAAGATATTGAAAAGAGATGAAGGCTGGTTGGGGCAACAGAAAGTCTGAAGCCCTTTCCCCTTATTTTGGAAGATCCAGGACCTCTAACGTCTCCATATTTCTATATTTCTTATTGGCACAAAATAAAAGAATGAGTTTCCCCTCAGTTAATCTTCTCCGAATGAAAGATTATAGACCCGTTGATTGGAGTGGGGGGCGGCGATGGGACGATCTGAAGCACGGTCTCTCTCTAACTTCGTAACTGGTGTTTGTGCTACCATAAAATCTACTTGTCTGGCTGAAGACTTGTCTGTTGTAGCATCCGCCAACGTCTTGTGCTTTTTCTTTGGGTTCTTTACACTTTTCAGTTAGCAGCTTCTGTTACAAAAAAAAAAAAAAAGCCTAGAGATGTATAAATTCCCTTGGTGTGATTGTTTTAAAACGTACAAATAAAGTCTCCCTTGAGTGCAGCTCAGCTCCTGGAGAAGTATAATCAAATGGATTTTCAGTTTCTCAATCTAGTTTCTGAAAATGTTTGGCACCCTACTCATTTTTTTTAAAATTCATTATCAGGACATTATACAATTCCTCCTCCTCTTTCTCCTCCCTCTTGTTAGTCCTTCTCCTCTTCTTCCTTCTTCTCTTCCTCTTTCTCGTCCTTCGCCTCCTCCTCCTCTTCCTCCTTTTCCCTCCTCCTCCTGAACGGAGAAATTTCATGACAGTGAGAACGATTAATCAGTGGCACAACCCGCCTCCAGAAATTGTGGGTGCTCCATCACTGGAAGTTTTTAAGAAGAGATTGGACAGCCGTTTGTCCAGAATGTTATTGGGTCTCTTTTTTGTGGCAGCCCCTCAAATATTGGAGCACGGCTATCCTGTACCCCCTCGTCCTTCTCTTCATTAAACTAGACATACCCAGTTCCAGCAACCGTTTCAGCCTATGTTTCAGCCTCCAGTCCCCTGATCCTCTTTGTTGCTCTTCTCTGCACTCTTTCGAGAGTCGCAATGTCTTTTTTTACATTGTGGTGACCATTATTAAAGTTCACACATGGTGTGAGCTCATAATCTTCCTCTTCCGGTGTTATTCGGTATTTCAAAGATGCCTCTTACAATCCTGGAAATGGGCCAGAACCGTGACTGTTGATGGCCATTGGAGACTGACCCCCAAAACCATCTCAACTGGTGGGTCATCTACCACGATGGCAGTCCCAACGATGCAAATCAACATTTCCTTCCATGCTTTTGTGTGTCCCGGCTCGTGGCTCATGCAATTCCCTTCCCTCCCCCCCAAAAAACAGGCATGATCTGATTTCTTTGCGGTTTTAATGAAAGCGGACACCCTTGGAGAAAATAATTCAAGGAGGAGACCATATACCCTTCACTGAAAGGGAATCTTCACCTGAAAGAACGATGGTTGCTTAAAGATAACAAATGATGAAACGGTTGATTCCATTTCATCACTTGTTATCCCCTACTACTTGAACACGGGGCTGGGCTGGAAGGCCTTCTAAGGTCCCTTCCACCTGTCATTCTGTTCTGTTGTTAACGTTTGTCACAAATTTGAGGAACTTTTAAAATCTGGCGTACGGCTACAGAATAACAATGAAAGATCTGTGATAATCCTGGACGTATTTCCTCAATTCTTCTCAGAATTTACAAGCAAGCCAGATCAAATCTGGAAAAGGCAATCCACAGTTTGAGCAAATACAGGCAGACAGTTCCCCTCCCCATCATTATAAACCAATCCAGAAAACAGCAAACTTAAAAAAGCCAATTTGCAGGATATCGAGGTATTTTCACAGGGGACATTGCCAGCAAAAGCATGGAATGAGATTTTATTTTAAATCTCTGTGGGACAATTAAATATGGTTTATTTCAATGAGGCCGAGCAAAAATGCTCCTGCCATTGGCTGGGAGGTTAACTGGGTCCAGGAAATGGAGATCAAGACACCCAGTATTTCTCTCAGCTTTAACTATAACAGACTATAGCAGAATAACAGTTGGAAGGGACCTTGGAGGTCTTCTAGTCCAACCTCCCGCTTAGGCAGGAAACCCTATACCATTTCTGACAAGTGGTTGTCCAATCTCTTCTTAAAATCTTCCAGTGTGGGAATACCCACAACTTCTGGAGGCAGGTTGTTCCACTGATTAATTGTTCTCGCTGTTAGGAACTTTCTCCTTAATTCCAGATTGCTTCTTTCCTTGATTAATTTCCATTCGTTGTTTCTTGTCCTGCCTTCAGGCGCTTTGGAGAATAGCTTGACTTCCTGTTCTTTGGGGCAGCCCTTGAAATATTGGAAGACTGCTATCATGTCACCCCTCGTCCTTCTCTTCATTAAACTAGACATTCCCAATTCCAGTTCTTTATATGTTTTAGCGTCCAGTCCCCTAATCATCTTTGTTGCTCTTCTCTGCACTCTTTCTAGAGTCTCAACATCTTTTCTACATCGTGGTGACCAAAACTGGATGCAGTATTCCAAGTGTGGCCTTACCAAGGCATTGTAAAGTGGCATTAACACTTCATGTGATCTTGATTCTGCCCTTCTGTCAATGCAGCCTAGAACTGTGTTTGCTTTTTTTGGCAGCTGCAGCACGCGGCTGGCTCCTATTTAAGTGATTGTCCACTAGGACTCCGAGATCCCTCTTGCAGTTACTACTATTGAGCAAGGTACCACCTATACCGTACCTATGCATTTGGTTTTTCTTGCCTAAATGTAAAGCCTTACTTTTCTCTATGGTGAATTTCATTTTGTTAGATAGCACCCAATGTTCAAGTCTGTCAAGATCCTTCTGTATCTTAAGCCTATCTTCTGGAGTGTTGGCTATTCCTGCCAGCTTGGAGTCGTCTGCCAATCTGATGAATTCCCCATCTACCCCCTCATCCCAATGGGGCCAAGCAAGAACGCTTTTGCCATTGGCATGGAGGTGAGCTGGGTCCAAGCAACAGAGATCAATTCACCCAGTATTTCTGTCAGCTTTATGATGTCACATGGAAACAGTATCCTTTCAACAATGCTCAAGGTTCCATTCCAGCCAGCCTCCCAGGGCTTCCACGGCAGGAAACGGATTATCTCCTGATGACCACACACCATGGAACAGACACTAAATGGCTGAATGCATACGTCAACCATGTGACCAAACATCTCATCACCACGGCCTACAGCATCATGGATGATGCTGCTATCCTTAAGAAAAGAGGCTACATCATGGGCGGGAATTTAGGGGAAGGGTCCTATGCCAAAGTGAAGTCGGCTTTCTCGGAACGGCTGAAGTTTGACGTAGCTATCAAAATCATCGACCGGAAGAAAGCGCCTCCGGATTTCTTGGAAAGGTTTCTCCCGAGAGAGATAGACATCTTAGCCAAAGTCAACCACCATTCCATCATCAAAACCTACGAGATATTCGAAACGTCCAACGGCAAAGTCTACATTGTGATGGAGCTTGGCGTTCAGGGCGACTTGTTAGAATTCATCAAGTTGAAAGGGGAGATGCCTGAAGACATCGCGCGCAAGATGTTCCGTCAATTGGGCACCGCTATCAAATACTGTCATGACAACGACATCGTGCACCGGGATTTGAAATGCGAAAACCTTCTGCTAGACAAAGATTACCACATTAAGCTTTCGGACTTCGGCTTTGCCAAACGCCTGCTTCGGGATGACGAGGGCAAAATTGTCTACAGCAAAACTTTCTGCGGTTCTGCTGCTTACGCAGCCCCGGAGGTTTTGCAGGGCATCCCGTATGAGCCCAAAATTTACGACATGTGGAGTCTGGGCGTTATCCTCTATATCATGGTCTGTGGATCGATGCCTTACGACGATTCGAACATCCGGAAAATGTTACGCTTGCAGAAGGAGCATAGGGTGCATTTCCCCAAGTCCAAAAACCTGACCATTGAATGCAAAGATCTGATTTATCGCATGCTTCAACCCGACGTGTCCCGACGCTTGCGCATCGAAGAGGTTTTAAGTCACATATGGATGCAGCCCGGCAAAATCAGAGCTGTGTCGGCCACTTCGGTCGGGAAAAATGGAGAGAGCTCGCGGAGTACGGCTGAGCTAAAACCGGAGCACCGATCAGAACGGGAGAAGAACCAGAAAAGCGAATCCAAGCAAACTCTGATCTCCACCGTGGCTCCTCGGCTGGAAGCGGTCGAAGAAGTAGAGGAGGTCCCCGAAGGAGACAAGAACGACGAAGGAGTGGAGAAGATTGCCGAGGAGTTTGAGAACGATATCTGACGTTGTTCCTTCAACAGACGCCCTCGCCCCAAAGCTAGCGTGACCGTCGCGTAACAGGGAGTCCAGGTAACCAACTGGAGAGCGTGGTGTGTGGAATAAAGATGAGAGCTAAGCAGAAGACGCGATCTGAAACTAAAGAATCAGCTTTCTGAATCAGCACGTTATTGTAGGCCAAAGGCCGTTCTATTAAATATTTTTTAAACGGATAAAACACTAGGCTGCAGCTGGCAACTACTGGAAGACGGGGGTTCAACTACTGGAATGAGAGAACTCACCGTGGCCAACACGCCATAGACAACTCGCCACAAGGCAATTCAATAATTCAATTTTTTTAAAAAAAAAAATTAAAAAATGTTTTAAATTTTTGTCATTTCACATTTCATTTTGCCCCTCCTTTGACATCCTTGCTCTAAAGCAGGGGTCTTCAAACTTGGTCCAGAATTCTGGGAGTTGAAGTCAACAAGTCATAAAAGGGCCAAGTTGGAAGACCCCCTGCTCTAAGGATCCTATTTCACCAATCTCTTCGATATTAGTGTGACTCTTGTCCTCTGGCGTGTTGGCCTGAGAAGCACTGGCCATGGTGAGGGATCTCGTGGGGAGTTGTCCTAGACCCTCAACCATCCTCCCCCCCCCCCAAAAAAAACCCCCAGCCTAACAGCCTCTGAAAAAACTGGGCCTGGCCTATGCTGGCTGTAAATAGAAGCTGAGTGACCACTGGAAAGCTGGTCTTCTACTCTCGTGTTACTTAGAAAAACTCCAGGTTGAAGAAATGGGATGACCAACCCATCCTGATTCTCAAAGGATGGAAGGCCTTAAGTAAGATAAGGAAACAGCAGCAGTAGCTAAAAGGTTGTGAAGTTACTCCACAAAAGCCACTAAAACTTGGCTTGATTGTCCTGCTGAAACAGGGGTCCCCAACCCCCGGTCCATGGACCGGTACTGGGCCGCGGCAGGCCGCTTCTATATTTATATTATATTTTATGTTATATACCTGTCCAACCCCTGATCAAATCTACCTTCCCTTTCTGGCTGGCAATTCACTTCTGCTTTCTTATAATTACCGTAACCCAAAAAGACCTGCGACAAGATTTTTGCCCATCAGAGCGAAACGCCACAAATCAGCCACTCAAAAACTAAAATGTGGAATTTATTCCCTGCAGTGTCAAGTCACCCTCATCCCTAGAAAATCAGCCGCGTCCAAATGAAGTATGTTAAGGCCTTTATACTTAAGGTGTTTATTTTCAGTCCTTCCATCGAAGAAGTTCAATTTCTCCTTTTTAAGATGCAGACATAAAAAGCTCCAAGGACGATAAACAGGTGCTTGCAACAAATTATTCAAAGCCAAAGGAACTGAGTCTCCTTGAATGACTGCCAGATTTCCAGCTTGCTATCTTTTTCGCCGACTGTGCCATGGGTTTTTAGTGTCACGAAAAAAAATATGTTTTTCCCCCGTTTCCCCCCCCACTGGATTCAATCTTATATCTTTGCTGCCCGACTTTTCAGTTTCTCCGTTTGGCTTTGAAATTTTGTTAACAGGCTTTTTCAGAAACCTTGCCCAGCTTTTAATACTTTTGTTCGTTTGGGCTGGACTGGGTCCAAAAGACAGGAGGCCACCGATAATCCTGCTCCAAGCGAGATTGAGTTAGACCGGATCGGCTTGGTCCCAACCCACGTTTTAGAGCCCGTAAGGTTTGGAAACCCAAGCTATCCCAAGCTTTCGATCCATAAGCAAGCTTCTCAGGACCTCTGTGGGAGAAGAATTTAAGGAATCTTGTTGCATTTGCTTTCTATAAAGCAAATTCTTTCTCGGCTCCCAGGCCAAGAGAAATATACCATACCTTTGGTCAGTCTCTGAGCCGAGGATCTGCTCCAAGATTAAGCAGGCGCGGACATGCTGCCAGCTGCACCTGGCCACCGAGATACCAAGGCAGCCACACAACATCCTATCTGGATACTAGTTCTTTCTTTCTCTCTCTCTCTTTGTCCCCCCAAGTTTTCCACACCACAATCCCAATTCCTGCCAGATCTTGAGGTGAAGCCTGCCTTTAATCAATTAAGATTAAAACCGCAAACTGCGTTCAAAAGGCCAGCGCCGTGCAAGCAGTTCTGGCAACCGTCTTCCTGCGCCAAGGTTTAACGAGAGGGGTTTCTCCAACTCCAAAGCCTTACTTTCCATCTGCTGCTTCTCGCTGGCTAGCCAGGATGAGGTCAACCCAGGACTGGAAAGGCAGGAACGATCCTGTACCCCGCGGAAACTTCTCTCCGGGTGCTTTTGGTCGATGGTGGGCGTTATGTCTTCAGCAGCGTTGGCGTATCGGGGCATTGCTGGGTTCTTCCCCCCCCCCCAAAAAAAGAAGAAGAGAGGGTCAAAAGAAGTCGGATGCTTTACGTCTTTTGGGCAGCTGCAAGAGATTGTCCGTGATAGAGGTGGGATCCTGAGCCACTGGGGTTTGAGAGAGCGTCCCGGACGTTGGGGTGACCGTGGGGGTCTGCAGGCCAGCCGAAGGCGTCTTGTAGCCAGGCGTCCTCTCAGGTGCAGGGGAAGGGGTGTAACTGGCCCGGAGAGCTTTGTCAGTGAACTTGTTAGCGGTGCGGTTCACGAGACGTTGTAAGGCGGGAGACATGGCTGGGCTGAGGCCTTTCGGAGTGAGGCTGGAAGGGGAGGTGGGGGGAGAAAAATCAAGGAATCAGGTAAGAGGTTCTGCTAAGCATTGGTCAGTCTGTAGCTAGGATGGTCAGATGGCGCAGTGGTTAAAATGCAGGATGGCAGGCTAACTCTGCCCACCGGCCTGGAGTTCGATCCTGACAGGGCTCAAGGTTGACTCAGCCTTCCATCCTTCCGAGGTCAGTTAAATGAGGACCCAGATTGTTGGGGGCAACTGGCTGGCTATGTAAACCGCTTAGAGAGGGCTGTAAAGCCCTGTGAAGCGGTATATAAATCTAAGGGCTATTGCTATTGCTGTTCTATGCTATGCTATGCTATGCTATTTCTATTCTATTCTATTTTATTCTTATTCTATTCTCCTATTTAATTCTCTATTCTATTCTAATCTTATTCTATTCCTATTCCATTCCATTCTTTTTCATTCTATTGTCTATTCTATTCCTATTCCTTATTCTATTCTATTCTCCTATTTAATTCTCTATTCTATTCCATTCCATTCTATTCTATTCTTATTCTATTCCTATTCCATTCGATTCTTTTTCATTCTATTGTCTATTCCTATTCCTATTCCTTATTGTTCTGTTCTGTTCTGTTCTATTCTATTCTATTCTCCATTCCTCTATTCTATTCTATTCTATTCTATTCTCCATTCCTCTATTGTATTGTATTGTATTGTATTCTATTCTCCATTCCTCTATTCTATTCTATTCTATTCTATTATTATTCTATTCTATTCTATTCTATTATTATCTTTTCATTTTGAATTTCCAACCGCACTCAAAGCAAGTCTTAAAGTTGATCTAACAAGACACTGAGATACTCCTTAAGTTTCGAATTCTTCAGCCCATTTCATTGCCACCTGGAAGGATCACTCACCTGGCCAGGTTCTCTGTGACTCTCCTCAAGGCTTCTTGTTTCTTAGCTCTGTTTTTAGCAGCTGCCTCATTGGCCATCTTAAGCCCTAGCCTCTCCCGGCGTCCGGGTTCCAGGATCTGTGAAAAGATCAGCTGATTAGATTACCGGTGCATTTTGGAATCTGATCCGTCCAACCTTAGCTTAATCCACCTCACCCTTTTCTCACGGGCTGAGAAAACCAAAAAGGATGTCTAGAGCAGCTCCAGAACCTTTTCTTCCACAAAGTGCTATCCAAATCAGGGCAGGTAAGAGTAAGAGTTGAGCCCTGACTCAACGACTTATTTCATAGTTTATCAAGACACATTTGGCACTCTAGTTAAAACATTCTCTGGGCTGCTAACAGTCCTTATAGTAAACACGTTCTCTGGCTGTAATTAATTTATTATGGCTCATGGGTTATATTATATTGGACTGGCATAGACCAGTCCAATATCTGATTTATTTATTTTTTAATATAAACGATTCTGAGCTTCAATGGTGGCACGGCCTACACCAGGGGTGGGGAACCTTGGCTCTTTTGTGACTTGTGGACTTCAACTCCCAGAATTCCTGAGCCAGCGGGAATTCCTGAGCCACAAGTCATAAAAGAGCCAAGGTTCCCCACCCCTGGCCTAGACAATGGCATCTGAACATAGATCTTTTTAACATTCATATTTTATTCTGGGGTTTTTTTTAAATCTAGGTGAAGTGATAATATATATATTGCAAGTCCAGATATAATATGCCATACGCTAAATAATAATAATAATAATAATAATAATAATAATAATAATAATAATAATAATAATAATAATGTTCACTGCACAGCTGTCCAATTTGTTTGCACAGGATACAGATAATCCTCGACTTACATTTAGTGACCGTTTGAAGTTACAACGGCACTCAAAAAAGTGATCATGACTGTTGCACCATCCTTGTGGTTACTCGATCAAAATTCGGAGGCTTGGCAACTGGGGTGTCCTAGGGTGTGTGTGTGTGTGATGTGATCCCCTTTTGCAACCTGTGAATGGGGAAGCCAGATTCACTTAACATCAATGTTACTCACTTAACAGCCTCAGTCATTCACTTAGCAAGATCGTAAAATAGGGACAAAAGTCACCTAACAAGTATCTCGTTTAGCAAGAGAAATTTTGACCTAAATTGTGGTCGTAAGATGAGGACTACCTGTATAGTGACAGGACCCAAATGGGGTGTTTTAGATCTTTCAATACCTTGAAAGCCGGTCCTGGCGTCCGGTCCATGTCAGAGCTTTCCAACCGCAGAGGGGTGCCTTCTATCTCGCCCCAGGTCATAAGAGGGGAGTCATTCACACCTGGAAAGACACATTGGCCAATCAGCGTACTTGAATAAGACAGCAAGCTGTTGGCTTGCCATCTGAACCCTACTAGTGTGCTGGACTCAAAATATTTGGGGTGAGGGAATCTCTGTCAGGAGAATCAGCTGGAAGGGACAAAAGAGAAAAGACTGAATCCTAAAAAACTGGTTTGTAGAGAGGAGGAGGAGGAGGAGGAGGAGGAGGAGGAGGAGGAGGAGGAGGAGGAGAGCTATAGGGTCCTTGGTGCTCTCTGAGCTTGCTTGTTTTCTTGCAGACGTTTCATTACCCAAACTAGGTAACATCATCAGTGCTAGCACTTCACCGCACTAGCACTGATGGCGTTACCTAGTTCGGTAATGAAACGTCTGCAAGAAAACAAGCAAGCTCAGAGAGCCACCAGGACCCCTCATGTCATCTCTGAGCTACAAGTATTCTCCTTTATTAGTACAGTCCTTTTGTTTTTACACAGATGTGAAAGAAGGTGGAAAAAAAACAACAGAAAGAACCAGAGCTTATATATAAGTTCTGTCAAAGGACACCCTGTCATTTATGTACGTATATATGTATGTATTTAGCACACCCATGGATCAAAAGGTTAGGATTTACAAATAGTCCTTGACTTACCCCTCATTCATTTAGTGACTGGGGAAAAAAAGGACTTGTGCTGTTTCTCACACTTACCACTGCCACAACAGGGGATCAAAATTCAGGGGCTTGGCAACTGGCCTGTATTTACAACAGCTGAAGGATTGTAAGCTTACGGGAATCATCATTTGCACCCTTCCCAGCCAGCTTACAATAAACAAAGTCAATTGGGGAAGCTAAATAGCTCTTTTGTGTGTATGTTTTTGTAAAATAATAATAATAAAATAACAGGATAAAAAGGATTTTCTTTCTTACCGGGAGCAGGGGAGGGTGTGGCCACGAATCCGTATCCGTTTACCTTCGGAGATTCCTGGGGAATAAGCTCCTTCCCATCAGGCCCCACTTTGCCTTGTTTGTACTGGGATTAACAGAGAAAGGAAGAATGCTTAGCATTAATTACAGAGAGCTTTAAAGGCACAGCGAAATCGGGAGAGAGAAGCTAAAACGGCTCAGAGTGTTAAAAACGAAAGACGTGTTGGAAAAGGGAATTAAAGAAGAGGCACCAACTTTTGTCCCAGGTAAACCAGAATGTTCAGAAACTCTTCTTTCCTTCCTCCCCTCCTCCTTTTTTTTCTCCCGCCTTCTTTCCTTTTCCCCCCTTTCCTTTTCTCCTTCCTTCCTCTGCTTATCATTTCCTCCTGTCTCCTTCCTTCTTTCCTTCCTTGCTTCCTTCTTTTGCTTATCATTTCCTCTGCTTCTCCATCTCCTTCCTTCTTCTCCTTCCCTCATCTCCTTCCTTACTTTGCTTCCCATTTCTTCTCCTCCATCACCTTCCTTCTTCCTTTCCTTGCTTTCCTCCTTTGATTACCCTTTCCTCTGCTCCATCTTCCTTCCTTCCTTCCTTGCTTCCTTCTTTTGCTTATCATTTCCTCTGCTTCTCCATATCCTTCCTTTCTTGCTTCTTCCTTCCTTTGCTTACCATTTCTTCTCCTCCATCATCTTCCTTCTTCCCTTCCTTACTTCCCTGCTTTGCTTATCCTTTCCTCTGCTCCATCTTCCTTCCTTCCATTCATCCATCCATCCATCCATCCCATTCTGCCATTATTTCTCGTTTGGTTTGCTTTGATTCATTGGCCAGTTCAAGGCGAGTAGAAGCAGACACCTTATAAAGGAGGTGGAGGTGGGAAACGTAACGCCCCTCACCTGAGCATTGAGGGCTGCTGCTTGCTGAAGCTGGGTCTTGCTCACTGCTTGACTAAACGGGTCCTTCAAGAAACGGGTGTTCCTGTGAGCAACCTCACGTGGCTTCTTAAACACGTCCTCCTCTTCAGGAACTCCTGAAAAGACACACCGCACTTTATGACCCACAACCCTGGAAACACAGCATGAATTCCTGGCTTTTTTTCCCCCAACGAAAGGGCAGACGTGAGTGAAGGGCAGGACAACCTCCAGCCAATCATCCACAAGGCAGAAGGATCAAACGAAGCTTCTTTTCTCTTATCCTGACTCTATCGCTTCTTTTTTTCCCAGACCGAGAGTAACAAGGCAGGTTAAGACCGATCAACCCGTGCAGGAGAAAGATCCGAAAGCAGGGAGGTTTGTTTTTCTTGCAGTTTCAAAATATGAAAAAAAAAAAATCAAGGATCAAAACGAATGGAGTGGAGGAAAAAAAGAGGGGATGCCCTCCGTTTGACCAACAGGATTGCTTCTAAGAAAAGTCCAAAGCAAGGACCGGTGAATTTATTTTATGATCTGCATTCTGCCTTTGCTCTTTTTACAAAAGTGCTCAAGGCGGCAAACATATCCAACACACCTTCCTCCTCCTACTTTCCCCACAACAACACTGGGGGGTGGATTGGGCTGAGAGAGAGGGAGGGAGGGTCTGGCCCAAAGGCACCCAGCCAGCTTTCATGCCTAAGGTGAGACTAGAACTCACTGTCTCCAGGTGATTGGCACAAAGTCACCCAGCGGGCTTTCATAGCTAAGACAGGACTAGAACTCACCATTTCATGATGATTGACCCAAAGTCACCCAGTTGGCTTTCACAGCTAAGGCAGGACTAGAACTCACCGTCTCCTGGTGATTGGCCCAAAGTCACCCAGCCAGCTTTCATGCCTAAGGTGAGACTAGAACTCACTGTCTCCAGGTGATTGGCACCAAGTCACCCAACGGGCTTTCATAGCTAAGACAGGACTAGAACTCACCATTTCATGATGATTGACCCTATTATTATCCAGCTCCCCTTTTTACAACAACCTTGTCAGAGGAAGCACAAGCAGCCTCACCTGGTGGATAATACATCAGCGAATTCTTTGCCTTGTATTCCCATGTCTCTACTCCAGCTTTCCCACTCCCCAGCGCTTGCTGCTCCTCCATTGATGGGAGAGCTAGCTGCTCCTGATGGCGCTGAAACGGGAGAGAAAAACACAGTCAGCTGCAAGCATGGATGGAAGGGACGATGTACCCCGGATGATCCTGCCATGTTTCTAGGAGTAAATTCATATTTTAGTGTTTTCAGCACTTCCAGGTTTTTCCTCCACAGAAGTCAACTGCATATCCTGAACGCAATTCGGTCAGGCAAGGAAAGCTTCAGGGCCTCCTGCCCCCAGTGTGGGTTTACTTCACAAAGGTAAATTGCACATGCCTTTTGATTGGCCAAGAGCTGTAATGTTTTCATCATGCGAAGCAAAAGGGATGATGCAATCTGCATGTAGCTTTCTTGGGCACACAAATCGGGCTGAGAATTGTCTAGGGTCTTGGAAGAAAAAAGAATTTTTTTCCCAGCTTTCTTTTAATTGCTATTTATTAGTTGGGAAGCATTCAGTTGTGCAAGCAGGGTTAGCTGGGAGCTGCACAAAGAGGCCTCTGGAAACCACAGGTTGCCTGATGTGCAGAATAAGACGGCATTAATTTTTTTTACAGCTTAAAACTGTCCACTTTTGAAAAGGAATGGCATAGCACTACTGTTGTCTTTCCAAAGTGAGGAATATAAGAAAAACCAGTTTAGAGAGACCAGCTAGCGGTGAAGGCGCTAAGCTAGTAATCAGGAGACGGTGAGTTCTAGTCCTGCCTGAGGCATGAAAGCCGGCTGGGTGACTTTGGTCCAATCACCAGGAGACGGTGAGTTCTAGTCCCATCTTAGGCATGAAATTGTATTGTATGTTTGTATTTTATCTAATTGTTAGCCGCCCTGAGTCCGTAAGGAGAAGGGCGGGATATAAATGTAATTAAATAAATAAATAAATAAAGCCAGCTGGTTGACTTTGGGCCAGGCCCTTTCTCTCAGGGACCTTAATAAAGGCAGAATAGCAGTGTTCCAATATCTCAGGGGTTGCCCCAAAGAAGAGGGAGTCAAGCTATTCTCCAAAGCGCCTGAGGGCAGGACAAGAAGCGACGGATGGAAACTAATCAAGGAGAGAAGCAACCTGGAACTAAGGAGAAACTTCCTGACAGTGAGAACAATTAACCAGTGGAACAACCTGCCTCCAGAAGCGGTGAATGCTCCAACACTGGAAGTCTTTAAGAAGAGATTGGACAGCCATTTTGTCCAAAATGGCATAGGGTTTCCTGCCTGAGCAGGGGGTTGGACTAGATGACCTCCAAGGTCCCTTCCAACTTTATTATTATTATTATTATTATTATTATTATTATTATTATTATTATTATAGAATAAAAAAAATACCTAAAAGATATATTTTTAAAAAGCCTCTTTTCTTTGACCAAGGGAGGAGCAATCCTTTCACCCCTGGCTCCAAACCGCCCTATAGAGAAGCTGCTCCTTACCTGGGCAAATTCCTCTTCGGCTTCGTAAAGCCAAGAATGCTTCATTTTCTCCTTCTCTTTGGCGACTTCCATGATCTGCTCGAAGGAAGCATTATCCTCGCTGGTGTGTTTGGCCAAGAATTTATCCAGACAGGGCAGGGCATCTTTGTTTTCTTCCTCCTCGGCTTCTCCTGAAAACAAAACGCAACTTGAAAAACAAAACAAAAAAAAAAAAAAGATCCAGACACACTAAGAAGCCCCAGTTCTTTGAAAGATCAGATGTTCTAAGCTGTGGTGACAAAAAGGTGAAATCGTAATCTACCCGCAGAGCTGAGATTGCCTACTCCAATTTTAATGAGATCAAAGAAAACTATAAAGAAAAACTCTCTCGCGGCGAGATGCTTACCTTCATCTAGAGATTTCGTGGTGAACTTGGGCTTATTCAGCACAGAAGAATCACCGGGGTGAACTTCGGGGGTTTCAAAAGTTGCCGGGGTGACATCTGTCCCAAGGAACACAAAATACAGATTTATAGAAAATGATTGCTCTGAAATTTCAAATCCCCGTTGAAAAATCCTGAAACAATCTCACTAATTGATCTAATAATGCTTTGGGGCTGAGGCTGGTGGGGGAATTACCAGGCCACGTTTCGTTTCTTGGTGAAAAATCAAGGCAACCACCCAATAAATTGGTACTTAATCATACATCTACTGTTATCTTCGTATGCCAATGTCCCTTAAAAGAAAAATTATGTGTGCAAAATGGGATTTGTGATAGGACACGCTATGGATCACCATTATTCAGGATTGTTTTATGTTTGTTAAATTGATCTTTTGCCGTTTTTTAGGGAGCTCAAGAAATGCATTGGACTTAAAATTCCAATCTTAGCCCAGTACGTTGACTACTATATGGCAGTAGCTGTCTTCTCTATTCTTCTAAATTTGACATTGTTTGCTCCATCACCCCTTTAAACCAGGGCCTTTTAAATACATCCCAGCTATGCTTTATCACTGGCCATCATTTGTAGTGACCGAGCAATTCTGAAATAGAAAAACAGACTGTGAAGTGCTATATACTATTAAATCTAGATAGTCTAGATCAGTGTGTCTCAACCTCGGCAACTTTAAGATGGGTGGACTTCAACTCCATGCTGGCTGGGGAATTCTGGGAGTTGATTTTCACCCATCTTAAAGTTGCCGAGGTTGAGAAACACTAGTCTAGGTCAGTTATCCGTGATTTTACCTTCCAGCTGTTCTGAAATTATAACTAAAACAGCCAGGCAGGCAGAACTCTGGGAGTTACAATGCCTACAGATGTATGTAGTGGCTAGGAACCCAAAACGACTGGATGGCGCAATCCATCGAATCAATCAACCGATCGGGCGCTCGTATTTACAAGGTGCAGGTGTATCTCTGGCAGCTTTGCCCAAGGAGGAGCCAAACTTGATGGCTATCTGTCTCATCTTCTCCAGATCGCCGCTCTCTTCAGCCTCCAGGTATTCCTTCTGGCCGCGCAGCTTCTCCACATCAGGGAAAAAATCCCTCTGGATGATTTTTTCCAGGCTCTGCAAAGCATTCAGACGTTTCCAGATAAATATTTTAAAACACGAGGCGTTTGGATTACACAATTTCTGAAACCTTATCCTTTGAAAAGGAGCACGGTGGGTCGAGTGGGTGGAAGGCAGGAGGTGGGCAAGCCCCGTGTTCGAGGCCCGGGAGCTGCCATGGGGCAGGGGTTGAGTTCCTTCGCTCCAGCTCCTTCTGGGGACATGAAAGGAGCCCCCAATTGGGCATCCACGGGGCAATGGTGATGCCATCAGCTACTTTTTTCAACATGGAAGTCTTGTGGAAAACAAAAGAACTCTTACGAATTCCAGAGGGGTTTAGCAGAGAGGTTTATTTGCACAGGTTCAGAGGCATATAGAGACATGCAATTCTGAATGAGGGCGGGATTAGATTTCAGTTTTTATACTATCCTTCTTTTAGGAACAAAGAGACTACACATGGTAATACACTGTAATACATTTGGATCATTTCTCAGGGGCATACAATGGAAGGTTTTGCTACATACAAAGTATCCATGTGCAAAGCGCATTTGGTTAGCCACATATTACTGACACAGAACTTTCCCAAGTGAATTTTCCCAGTGATTATGCATTACATCATTATTCTAGCAATTATGCAGACAAATCATTATTCTAGTTATGCAGACAAATCATTATTCTAATAATTGTTCATTTTACTACGTTAGAAGCGCCTCAGCGCTTCTGAAGTGCAAAATCCTTTGATAACGGCCTATCCACTTTTCATTGCATCTTGCAAACTATTCAAGGAATCACTTTTCTAATAAGGAAGCCTCATACATAATACTCGGCCTTGGCAACAGTAGAAAAACTATAAATTGAGTAAAAGAGATTAAAGGAACGGAATGTGACACTTTTTGGTAATACTTTTTTTCCCCTTCTCTTCCTCCGCAACCCCTCCCCCCCACGCCTCCGCACAACGACCTTGCGAGGGAGGCCGGGGGAGGTAGGAAAAAAGAGCGCTGGGCTCCCAACCACGGCAGAAAAAGCCGGAGGGCCGAGAGGCGACGGGCAGCCGGGTCTCCCGAAGGCCTGCCCGGCCCCCTCGTCCGCTCACCTGGATGTAGGCGTCCTCGTCCAGGACCCTCTTGCGGCATTTGGGGGCCTCCTGGGGGGCCTCCTTCGGAAGAGCTACGGCGGAAGCCTCGGCCTGCACGGGCACCAGCGCCTGGGCCGAAGCGCCACACCCCGCCGGGGTCCCCGAAGCCTCCATGGCGCCCCGCGAAGCGTCTCCCGTGGCAACGCAGCGAGGCCTGGGCCGACCCAGGCTCCCACTTCCGGAAACACGGCCACTTCCGGGGAGAGACCCGGAAGCGCTTCCCCTTACGCCGCCCCCGCGTGCGCCGAGGGCACGTCGCCGAAAGGCGTGGCAGTCCCAGCGTGAGACCGCCTCCTCCTCCCCCCGAGGGAAGACGTCACGCCAATCCGTGACATAGAGGTAAGGCGAAGAGGCAGCGCGCGATCGATTCGGGTTCTGTTCGCAGCTGCAGCGTGGCGGGGCGGGCAGGTGAGAGTGGCTCGGGAGCGACCGACCGAGTCTACTCTGCGGGGTCGTCGTTCAGCTGATCGCGGGCTCAGACCCTCTAATTCCCGCCACCCTCCCCTCCAAAAAAGAAGCCAAGTGGATATGTAAAAAGCGGGGATGGGCGCCTCTGCCACCACTACACCTCTTTTATGATTGATCTGATTTGATAATAATAAAGTTGGAAGGGACCTTGGAGGTCATCTAGTCCAACCCCGTGCTCAGGCAGGAAACCCTGTACCATTTCGGACAAATGGCTGTCCAGTCTCTTCTTGAAGATCTCCAGTGTTGGAGCATTTGATTTGATTTGATTTGATTTGATTTCTACTTCTACTATTGCAAAATTTGCATTTTTAGGATATGGGGATCAGCAAACCCCTTTGCTGTGCTCCTTTGCATATTGTATTGCGTTGTATCAATCTTCTATCGCTCGATAGCATCCAATCTGATGCAAAATGGAACCTCCAGCCAATGAAAAAAGGTGTGCTGGACAGGGTAGCAGCCTGTCTATGAAGCCGCCAGGAGTCAGATAGGACTAAAATGGTTTAAAACCGCAACAAATATAGGCAAGAAAGGAAAACAAAAACAAAAGTTTGTTTTTCTTTATTTTTTATTGGTGTGCCTGTGTGATCGATGCAACGTTTGTTTTTTAAGATCCGGGTCTGAAAACAGACAAAACTGTAGCTATATCACTTCGCTAGCTTGAAACGTTGACTTTGCAAAACATTTCATGTTTAAATCCTACTCTGGGCTTTAGGATTGGCCAGCAAAGCAACTACGAGTTACAACCGTTCGTTTTAGCGACCGTTCGAAGTTACAACGGCACTGAAAAAAAAATAGCAGAATAACAGAGTGGGAAGGCACACACAACCCGGAGGTCTTCTAGTCCAGCCCCCCGCTCAAGCAGGAGATCCTATAGCATTTCAGACAGAGGGCTGTCCAGTCTCTTGTGACTTATGACTGGTCCTCGCAGTTACGACCCATTGCAGCATCCCCACATGATCACTATTCAGATGCTGGCATATATTTATGACAATTGCACTGACCCGGGATCCTGTTTATGACTTTCCCAGCCTGCTCTGAATAAGCAAAGCCAATGCAGGAGGGTGGATTCACTTAACAACTGCATGATTCATTTAACAACCATGGCCAAAAAGGTTGTAAAATCAGGTTCAACTCACTTAACAGCCCTCTGGTTTAGAGATGGAAATTCTGATCCCACCTGGGGTCCTAAGCTGAGGACTCCTTGTATATCAAAAAAGCAGGGTAGTGAATCATAATTTAATCATCGTTTATGCTAATCACTCAGCCTAACGTCCAATAACTGCCCTCTATAGAAGAAATAAATAAGGATTCACGCTTTTGCAAAAACAATGAATTTCTGCCTCATTATTGATCTGGCCTTAAGCCACAGACCGCTTAGCTCTCATTGGTTGAATAAACCAGAGTTGGTTTATTCAGGAATACAGGTAGTCCTCGATTTACGACCACAATTGAACCCCAAATTATCAAAAGAGTGGTTCAGTGAGTTTTGCCCCATTTTATGACCTTCCCCATTGACTTTGCTCGTTGGAAGGTCATAAAAGGGGATCACGTGACCCCAGGACGCTGCAACCGTCATAAATGTGAGTCATAAATGATCCCGGGACACGGGGAAATACGTGCCCAGTCGCCAAGCGTCCGAATTTTGACCACATGACCGCAGGGATGCTGCCACGGTCGTAAGTGTGAAAAACAGTCATAAGTCACTTTTCCCAGTGCTGTCGTAACTTGGAACGGTCACTAAACAAACCGCTGTAAATCGAGGACTGCCTGTAATATGTTTTGTCTGTCATGGCATGGAACCCAATTATTCCTGGTAAATCAGGTCTCGGTATAATGACTGGAGACATCCTGATGTGGGCTGATGGATCAATCATGGTTAACCAAAACAGGACTGCGTGGGAGATGTCAGCTCGGCTAACCTATAATTTGTCCCTGTATGGATAACTTGGCCTCGACCTGCCCGTCAACGCTTCTCTTCGGAAGACATCTTGGCCACTGGGAGGATGAGTGACGACGCTGCAGCTCTTTTCTGATGTCTCCATTTGGCTCGGCGGTTTTTAAACCAAACCTGTTTGTTTACAACAGAAGAAGGACGTTATTCCATCCGCCGCCCGACGCCCTGCTTTTTTAAAAAAAATGTTAAATCGTATCAAAAAGCGAAAAGGATAAACCCAAATGCCAAATAGAATCGTATAATGGGTGTAAATATTGAACCAGTACAGTATAGGTTTCCCTGGAAGTATGGATATTCGCTTAATGGCTGTTAATAATCGAAGTTATGACACAGAAAACGGTGCTCCAGAAAAGGGACTGACGTTGAATCGGGAGCCTGAAATGGCATCCGTGGAGAGAGTCAGTTTGGTCTGGTGGATAAGGCACCAGGCTGGAAAGCAGGAGGCTGTGAGTTCAAGTCCCGCTTTAAGGCTGACTCGGCCTTCCATCCTTCCGAGGTCGGTAAAATGAGGACTTAAGATTGTTGGGGGCAAGAGGCTGATTCTAAACCGCTTAGAGAGGGCTGTGAAGCGGTATATAAGTCTAAGTGCTGTTGCTATTGCCCTTCCTTCTTTCCTTCCTTCCTTCTTTCCTTCCTTCCCTCCCTCCCTCCCTCCTTCCTTCCTTCCCTCCCTCCCTCCCTGCACAGAAGTTAGAATGCAAAATTGCAGGCTAACTCTGCCCACTGCCAGCAGTTCGATCCCGACCAGCTCAAGGTTGACTCAGTCTTCCATCCTTCCGAGGTCAATAAAATGAGGACCCAGATTGCTGGGAGGGCAAGAGGCTGACTCTGTAAACCGCTTAGAGAGGGCTGTAAACTAAGCCCTGTGAAGCAGCATATAAGTCTAAGGGCTATTGCTAGTGCTCTCTAAGCATGAAAGGCTGACTTTGGGCCAGTCATTCTCTCTCAGCCCAACCTACCTCACAGGGGTGTTGTGCAGAAAATAAGGAGGAAGCCCTAAATTTGATCTTCTAGAAGGCTTATGAACTTCTCAATCCCCTTCAGTCCTGCTCTTTATCACCTGTTCTGCCCACCCCACCCACCCATCCACCCCCTGAAAGTTACCTCAACTCTCTCTTCCTTCAGGTGGATCTGGCTGGCTAAGTGCTCTCTGGTGATCACATCTGGGTACTGGTTCTTATGGAAAAGGGCCTCCAAGGCCTGGAGCTGGTCTTCCGTGAAGATGGTCCGATGTCGCCGGGTCCGTCTCTGGATCTGGTGGAAGGTCTGCAGCTCGCTCGGGCTGCCGCGGTGATTCCTGCAGGGCCTGGCCAGGGGGTAGAACAGCTTCATGGGCCACGCACACCTGGGGTCACCTGGAAGGAAAGCACAATCGGTTGGGTTGGTCTTCAGAGATGCGGTGAGCCAATCCGTTGGTTCTCCAGGGTGGGAATGATAGGGCCATCTGCTTATCTATTGCTGTGCAGGTTCTGAGGTTTTGCTTGATTAAAAAAAAACAAAAACACAGGAAACCCTGAAGCTGCCTTCAGACTCATTCACTATCTCATCATTTTCTTCCTGAATCCTTCTAGATTTAAAATTGGAATTTGTGTCCATCGCTGGGGGACCAGAGATTTAATCCTTCTAGATTTCCCCGTATTTGTAAATTCCCCGCTGGAAACCAGGAAAGGCTACAGATGGGTGCCAAGAGATGAAACATGGACACAAGCCAAGAACTTTTTTCTTTAGATACACACACACACACACACACACACACACAGAGAGAGAGAGAGAGAGAGAGAGAGAGAGAGAGAGAGAGAGAGAGAGANCACACACACACACACACACACACACACCTTGGAAGAATCACAGTAAAGCCTGTTTCTTTCTTTCTCTCCTCTCTCTCTCTCTCTCTCTCTCTCTCTCTCTCTCTCTCTCACACACACACACACACACACACACACACACACACACACAACCAAAAACCCCCAAGGCAATTCACTTGAACGAACTAAAGAAACAGAACGGGCAAAAACTTTTAGGAAACTCCCAAGACTGATTTTGACCTTGGGGTCCTGATTGCCCCTAAAGTTAGGCTGGAGGGCGCTGGCCCCAATGGCAGCCCCCACCCTCACAGCCCCCCACCCCACCCCAAGTCTTTTGGCAGCCCCCACCCTCCCAACAAAACCCCTCACCAAGCCAATTTGCGCTGTCTCGCCACGTGCGAACGCTCTCCTTGGAACAGCAGCAACAGTTGCACGACATCCTGACTCTCTCCGCTTCCTCCGCTTCTTCCTCCTCCGGGAAAGTGCCCAGATTTCCCCAAAAGCACAGCGCTTTGGGGTCTTGGTGGTCCCAAATGCCTCGGAAGCAGAAGGGGAAGAGGACGGGGGCTCTGCTCTCCGCCGAGCCGGACAGGATGCTGTCAATGGTGAAGGCATGCGGCTTCTTGTTCTTCTCCAGCTCAGCAGTTGAAGGAGCTTCTGTGGACATCCTTCTCCGTGGGGACCTTAGCTACACTTGAGAGACCAAAGGAGAAAGGGCAACTGCTTTATCATCAGTTGGTAAATTTGCAAAAAATAAAAAATAAGAAAAAATGAAAAGGGGAGACAGGACGTAAATGTCCATCAGATGGGGAAGATGCCCTTTGCTCAATGGCCAACTCTTTGAAGAATTTCAACCATCCCTTCCTGGCCACCCGGTCTCTGTCTTCCCGTAATCTAGTTAGTGGCTTTATAAGAGCATCGCAAATATACAGAGACATTTTCTCTTTCCCCCCTCCCCCTCTCACGGTCCTTAATCCTTCTTGGAAAGAAACCAGCCCACCCCACCACCCACCCCCGAAAAGCTGGAATAAAATAAATTCAAGCTAATCTTGACAGCTTTGTGAAGGGTTAGTGTGGATCTAAGATTTAGCTAATCCTGCAGGAATGACTGGGTGGAAATCTGATTTCTCAATCTCAACGGCAGGATGAAGTTGGTTTTATGATGTCCATTGTATGGCAAAGCTTGTCTATTGGCAGGAGGAGGGGAAGAGAGGAAAAAAGCTGTTTTCTCAGGCTCAGAAATGGCCCGGGAGGATTAGCTCCTTGAAAAAAAGAAAAGAAGAAAAAGAAGAAAAGCAAATTATCCTTTTTTTTTTCTTTGACCACAGGAAAGGCTTCTAATCCAAAGACACAACTGTCATATTGCACAATGTAAGGACAGAGAAGGGGGCTGAGGTTGGGGGAGTGGGATAAATGAATTTGGCTTTTACAAGAGGAAGCCAACAATATTAGCAGCAGCCAAGATCTCTTGCAAAATAGAAAAAAAAATGTCTTGAAAGTCAATGTATTGGTGACTGGGAACCCAGGCGAAAGTTGGATATTATCAGTGTTTCTGATGGGCCGTCAACCCATTGATTTTCTCTGTTTTGTAGAATAAACGGGAAGCCCTGTTAATGGGACATTAGGCTGATTAGGAATTCCAGATTATGCTACTGGGAGGAAGACCCTTCAGGAAAGGGCGAGACTAGAGTTGAGATTAAGAGAGATATAGGGAGGGGAAGATAGAAAAAGAAAGGATGAATGAAGATGATAGATAGATAGATAGATAGATAGATAGATAGATAGATAGATAGATAGATAGATAGATAGATAGATAGATAGGTAGGTAGGTAGGTAGGTAGGTAGGTAGGTAGGTAGGTAGGTAGGTAGGTAGACAGACAGACAGACAGACAGACAGACAGACAGACAGACAGATGAGAGGGAGAGAGATGGTGATGGATGAGAGGGGGATAGAGAGATAAAGAGAGATAGATAGATAGATAGATAGATAGATAGATAGATAGATAGATAGATAGATAGATAGATAGATAGATAGATAGATAGATAGATGAGAGAGGGAGAGAGAAATGGTGATGGATGAGAGGGGATAGATAGATAGATAGATAGATAGATAGATAGATAGATAGATAGATAGATAGATAAGTAGGTGATGGGTGGATGATAGATGGATGATGGATGATAGAAGATGACTGAGAACTAGAGAGAGAGAAAAAGTATATATGGATGAATAGATGGACAGACAGATCCCATACAAACAAAATCTCTTTTTATTTTTATTTCTTATTTTTTCGTCAAATGTATTGTCTGCCCATCTTATCACAGGATAACTCCGGGCGGCTTACAATATTTAAAAGGCTCCTTACAATGTTTTGCCCAATCGGAAGAGGTGGACAGATCTGGCCCGTAAGAGTCGAACGTGACTGAACGGACAACATCATCATCACAATATTTTTTGGGGGGGTTCCTCCTTAATTCTGAACATTGGGAAGCTGTCCTCAGATTTAAGAAGCACCTAGTTCTAAGCCGTTTCCCGTGGAAGCAAACTCCTCAGAAGGTTTTTTTTTTCTCCCAGGTCGGTTTAACTGCTTACCCAGAAGCGAATTGATTTGAGCAATGGTTTTTAAAAAGAGATTGGATGGCCGTTTGCCCAGAATGGTATAGGATCTTCTGCTTGCGCAGGGAGTTGGACTAGAAGATCTCTAAGGTCCCTTCCAACTCTGTGGATGGAAACTAACCAAGGAGAGAAGCAACGAGAACTAAGGAGAAATTTCCTAACAGTGAGGACAATTAACCAGTGAAAGGGCTTGCCTTCAGAAGTTGTGGGTGCTCCATCACTGGAGGCTTTCAAGAAGAGATTGGACAACCACTTGTCTGAAATAGTATAGGGTCTCCTGCTTGAGCAAGGAGTTGGACTAAGAGACCTCCAAAGTCCCTTCCAACTCTGTTACTATGATGCTTGGGGAGCCAATTTCCTTCCAGGGGGATAGACTAGATAGCTTCCCAGACCCCACGCCATCTCCACGCTCCTGCGAGAGCGTCAGAAGTTGCTACAAGGGAGGGGAAATAGAGCAGCATTTCTCCAAGTTCAGGCTGTTCAATTCTCCCCCCGTCACCATGACGGCCAGTGAGACCCTATTCAACAAATCTTCCACCTATCTGGCCATCCGGGCCTTGTGCATTTAGCCTCTTAGTCCCCTGTCTGATTGCTTTCTTTGATTTTCCTCACAGCTTTCACTTTGGGGAAAAATAGACGGGTAATGCTTCTTTTATCAAAGAATTATGGGATTTAAGACCCAGATTTCAGCAAGAGACGTTGCGATAAGGGGCCGGTAATCAAATCCAAATCAGCTAGGACTGCTTTGTATCCCGATTCGCCGAGGTGGTGGGGTGGAGGGGTGTATTGATGTGTGTTTATGGAGATAAAGATCTCGCTGAGCCTTTCCATCTTTTTTTCTTTTTTTTTATAAATAAAAAAAAGAGGAGAACAAGAAGAAAGAGGAAAATAAAAACAAGGAGAATGGAAGCGAGGGGAGAGTGTATAGACACGTGCCAGACAATGGCGAGATACGGGCGGGAGAGAATTGAAAAAGAGACTTTATCGGTTTGGTAAGAGACTCTAAAACCATTATGGGGATTAGCCGCAGAGAGAGAGAGAAAGGCAGCGAGTTAATCTGTTTTAGCTATTCATTTGTGAAAAGTGAATTTAGAGGGTTGAATTCCCACCGTCCTCCTCCAAGCGCCACAATG